GCTCATTTAGTTAGTCTTAGTTGTTGAAGGTTTGATTGTGTGTACCTAACGTTGAATGTTACTCTCTACTGTCTTGCTTTTTCTCTTATCTCTGTGGTTGGTGCTGCCTGTCCTTTTCATGGTTAAGTTGGGTTTCACTTTCTGTGTGCAGAATCCCTTGAAGAATCTTTTGTAGTGCTGGCTTTGTGGTCACATATTGTTTTAGTTTCTGCTTATCATGGAAGACTTTTATTGCTCCATCTATTTTGAATGATAGTTTTGCTGGGTAGAGTATCCTGGGGTTGAAGTTATTTTCATTCAGTGCCCGGAAGATCTCACCCCACGCTCTTCTTGCTTTAATGTTTCTGTTGAGAAGTCTGCTGTGGATTTGATGGGTTTACCTTTGTATGTTACTTGTTTTTTCTCTCTTACAGCCTTCAATATTCTTTCTTAGTTTCTGAACTTGTTGTTTTAATGATGATATGTCATGGAGTAGTTCTATTTTGATCTGGTCTGTTTGGTGTTCTGGAGGCCTCTTGCAATTGTATGGGAATATCTTTCTCTAGATTTGGGAAATTTTCCGTTATTATTTGTTGAATATATTACGCATTCCTTCGCTTGCACCTCTTCCTTCTTCGATGCCCATGATTCTCAAGTTTGGTCTTTTGATGGAGTCAGTGAGTTCTTGCATTTTCTTTTCACAGGTCTTGAGTTGTTTAATTAATAGTTCTTCGGTTTTCCTTTAATTACCATTTCATCTTCAAGTTCTGAGATTCTGTCTTCTGTTTGTTTCTATTCTGCTGGATTGGCCTTCCGTTTTGTTTGCAGTTCTGTTTCGTTCTTTTTTCTGAGGTTTTCCATATCCTGGCAGTTTTCTTCTTTAATGTTGTCTATTTTTGTCCTTGAGTTCATTTATCCGTTTATTCATTGTGTTCTCTCTTTCACTTTGGTGTTTATACAGTGCTTCTATGGTTTCCTTTATTTCTTCTTTTGCTTTTTTCAAATTCTCTATTTTATTGTCTTGGAATTTCTTGAGTGTCTCTGTACATTTTGGTTGACCCTATCCAGTATCATCTCTATAAAATTCTCATTGAGTACCTGTAGTATGTCTTCTTTAAATTATTCTTGTGGGCTTCATTGGTCCTTTGGCATAGTTTATCTTCATTTTTGTTGGAGTCTGGATCTGAGTTTCTGTTCTCTTCATTCCCCTCTGGTTCCTGTACTAATTTTTTGCTGTGGGGAAACTGGTTTCCCTGTTTTTTCTGTCTTCCCGTCATTGTCTGTGTTTTTGTCCCTGTACTGTGTGCAATTAAGTATTTTCTAGCTTGTAATAATAACAATGGTAATATTTAGAATGGAAAGGTGAGCTGAGATGGAAAGCAAGAAGTTAAAGAAAAGGGAAAACAAATATAACAGACAAGAGGGAGAAAGCAGAACAAGGTAATCAGACAAGAGAGTTTCAAAGGTATAAACAGGGAGTGTTAGTGTACTAATCGACAGTAAGCTGAACAGACATTAGAGAGACAGAGAGAGGATTGAAAATCAAAGATAAAAAAATAAAAAATAAGTAAATGAAAGAAATATCTATATATAAAATGAATTAAATAAAATGAAAATAGAAATTAAAAAAAAATTAAAAAAAAAAACCAAAAAACTCCAAGTTTATATGCAATGCAGTTTCAGTCTTAATAATTTGGGTGTCCATCTCAATCTCCAGTCCTGGAGTTGGTGCCTCAGATGTTGTTCTGTAGTTGTCTCATCAAAGGGGATGCATAAAGTAGAAAACAAAACTACACACACACACACACACACACACAACACACACACACACACACAAAAGCCCCACCAAGTGTCCCCAAGTTCAAATGCAATACAGTTTCAGTAAGTTTTTCGGCTTGCAGGTGTAATTCGGTTGTTCTCTCATCAAAGGTAGGGAGAAAAAGAAAAAAAAGTGTCTGGAGACAGTTCTGAGAGTGGTATCTGCAACTGTGGCTTGCCTGCCTGCTGCTCTCAGCCTGTAGCTGGCGGCGTTATTTATGCAGATCTCTGGGGTGAGCTTAGCACTCACCTGGCCCACAGGCTTTGTTTGTCAGAGTTCTCCTGTGCGGGAGCCTCTGCTAACAGGCTTTCCCCTTTCCAAGCACTGGGAAAGGTGACACTGCCCCGCGCTGTTGTCAGGCCTGCGTGTTTATTTACAGTTCATGTGGGAGGTGGGTCTTCCCCCCTCTCCTGTGAGTTTTCCTCCCACTGCCACTTTCAGAAGCTTTCCTGCTCCTGCTTACTGGGCGGTGCTGCTGCTCCTGCCGGCCGCCATGTTTGTTTACAGTTCACATGTGGGAAGTGGGTCTTCCCTCCTCCTGTGGAGTTTTCTCCTCCTCCACTCTCACAAGCGTTCCCTGCTCCTGGTTGCTGGGTGCGCACCCCGCTCCCGCCAGAGGCCTCTCCGGCCGCTTGTTTTATTTACAGTCCCGGAAGGATTCCCTTCCCCAATCTTCAGCGCTCAGGGCGCCCCACCCTCTTTCCAGCGTGTCTTAACTGTTCTTATGCTTATTACTCAGTTTCTCTTTTTTTCCCGGTGGAGGTCAGTCTGTCCAGGGGGCTTAAGCTGCTCTGGCCCAGGCTTGTCTGTGGGGGTACCGCAGGGTACGCGAAAGCTCACCTGGTCCGCGTCTTCCAAGCCGTATGGGCCGGCCACTGGCGGCCCTGGGGGCCCTCCTCTTTCTCCATTTAACGTGAAGTGGAGATTCTCTGCACGGCTGGAGATGTGGAGGGGTCAAAGTTATGCCTTTTCTCGTGATTATGCCTGCAAAGTGTGGTTCTCCAGCGTCTCTCCAAGATTTCACTATAGGAGGGTCGCTTTCTGCTTCCTACCTCTAGCCACCATCTTGGAATCCTCGCATTATACAAATTGGTTGTTTCCTGACTCTTATAATCCTATGAGTTCTTGAGAAAGAGGTTTTAAAACAAAGGACATCCTCTAGCAGGAAGCTCACAGAGGAAGGTATCAATTCCATTTAATTCTGCAAACATTTATTGAGCTATACTGTATGATCTGAACAATTTTAGCTATTGTGGGGGTAGAAACATGAGTCATAGGATTGAAGGTGTACTCTTCTTAACTAGAAAGGAGAAAAAAATAGAATGAAGGACTATTGTAAGGACATTGGATGCGTCGACTTGACCCAGTTGGAAGAGTTGCTAGGGATGGGTTTCGTCTCTCTCCAGCTGAGGCCTGGAGTTAAGGTTGTAGTCTTGGCTCTGTCTCCCTAGCAGGGTGTGTCCCAGTGTGGCAAAGGTCCTGTTCACAGCCAAGCTGGTGGCATAGGGCCCAAGAACCATGTTGGAAGCTTGGTGTCTAAAGCTATGTCAAGCCTCTTCAACATCAGAATGTCAAGTAGTTTCAGTTTTCAAGTGAACACTCAAAGCCAAGTCTGAGAGGGCTGAATTCTCTTCCTAGTAGCTATGAAAACATGGAGTGTCCATAACAGATGGAATGAAAAGACCCCAGAAACTGAACGAACCAATAGAGGCAGCAGCAAGATAATTCTACACACTCCTGTGTTGGCCATACCTTCAGGTTCCTGCTGGGCTTAGGTAGGCAAGGCAGGGGTACTGGGTACACAGTGGGATGGACTGAATGACAGGCCAGAGGTGGTTCGTTCATTCGTTCCTTCCTTCCTTTTCTTTTTTGGTGATACTGGGGTTTGAATTCAGGGCCTCATGCTTGCTAGGCAGGCACTTTACCTCTTGAGCCAGGAATTTGGGAGTACTGCCAAGGAGGGGTAGAAATTATGAATCAGTGGACAGACACATTTACATCTGGGTTCCCTCTTTCCTCTGCAGGAATTGTGGATTGAGCACACTCCACTTGAGAGCTGCTCCTGGTCAGAAAATGAAAAGTGGACCTCTGTCATTGCTTTTTCCACTGGTCCTCAAGATTGGGCTTGGGACCACTGGCCTGCACAGGGCCAGTGTAGCTGTAGTGGCTGACCCTACTGGGGGTGGGGGTGGGGGTGGGGCGAGTTTTGAAGTCTTTATCTGATTCTCCACTCAAATGCTCAGAACAAAATTTATAAGCACCTTTCTTTTCCAGGATTTTGTCAAAAAGTTTCTAGAAAGCAATGACTGGAGAATGATACTTAATTGCACGCTATCCATAATTAATTATTTTGAGATGTGTGAGAAGGTCATTGACAGTTTATTTGCTATGCTGTCCTTAAGGTTTAATTTTAGTGACTGTTAAAAAGAAGAAAAAACAAAGGTTTTTCTTAACCCCCAATTCGCTTTGCTCCCTAATTCTTTCTTCTTCATGAAGCTTAATTGACTCAGGGGGGTTTTCAGGAATTGAATTCTTGTGGGGAGACATGCCAATAGCACCAGCAGAAATACAACACAAGTCACATTTTTTAAGTAGCCATATTAAAAAGGTAGAAACAGTTGACATTAATTGTAATATTTTATTTAACCCAATGTATCTAAAATATCATTTCAACATGTAATTAATACAAGAATTACTGATGTGCTATTTTACTCTTTTTAGCACTGAGCCTTTGAGAGCTGGTGCCTCTACTGCACTTACAACACAACACATCTCAATGGGCTGGCCACATTTCAAATGCTTGGGAGCACATATGGCTAGGTGCTACTGTTCTGCACAGCACAGGTCTAGGTGTAGGCCACAGTCGTTTGATCCTCTTAGGCATGTAGACAACAAACCCTCTAGGCCACACTGTAAGAGCACAGAGCTGTGGCATCTGTGGGAAGGAGTTTAGAAGGGACCCAAGGCAGAAGTAACAGCCCGAGTTTTGTTGATTCAGCTAACTGGAAAGCAAAGGCGAGGGCGTTGTAGGTGGGAAAACCTGTGTGAGGCCAGGAAGATGGGTAGAGGCCATGTGAGGATGCAGAACACGGTAGAGGGCCTGCATGCCTCTACTGGGGTGACTTTGTGTGACTGTTGCTCCTTTTTTGTCTTTTCTTCTTCCTTCTGCTTCCTTCCTTCTTCCCCCCACCCTCACCCCCAGCGGTGGTGCTTGGCCTGCCCAGCATCCGGGCCACCGAGGCCTGCGTGCGCGCCTGCCCTGTGGCCTGCGCCTGCAGCAGCGTGGAGCAGGGCTGCTCGGTGCGCTGCGACCGCGCGGGCCTCCTGCGGGTGCCGGCCGAGTTCCCGTGCGAGGTGGCCTCCATCGACCTGGACCGGAACGGCCTGCGCATCCTGGGCGAGCGAGCCTTTGGCACGCTGCCGTCGCTGCGCCGTCTGTCCCTGCGCCACAACAACCTGTCCTTCATCACCCCTGGGGCCTTCAAGGGCCTGCCGCGTTTGGCCGAGCTGCGCCTGGCGCACAACGGTGACCTGCGCTACCTGCACGCGCGCACCTTCGCCACCCTGGGCCGCCTGCGCCGCCTGGACCTGGCCGCCTGTCGCCTGTTCAGCGTGCCCGAGCGCCTGCTGGCCGAGCTGCCGTCCCTGCGCGAGCTCGCCGCCTTTGACAACCTGTTCCGCCGCGTGCCCGGCGCGCTGCGCGGCCTGGCCAACCTGACGCACGCTCACCTGGAGCGTGGCCGCATCGAGGCCGTGGCCTCCAGCTCGCTACAGGGCCTGCGGCGCCTGCGCTCGCTCAGCCTGCAGGCCAACCGCGTCCGCGCCGTGCACGCCGGAGCCTTCGGCGACTGTGGCGCCCTGGAGCACCTGCTGCTCAACGATAACCTGCTGGCCTCGCTGCCGGCCGACGCCTTCCGAGGCCTGCGCCGCCTGCGCACGCTCAACCTGGGCGGCAACGCGCTGGGCCGCGTGGCACGGGCCTGGTTCTCCGACCTGGCGGAGCTCGAGCTGCTCTACCTGGACCGCAACAGCATCGCCTTTGTGGAGGAGGGCGCCTTCCAGAACCTCTCGGGCCTCCTGGCTCTGCATCTCAACGGTAACCGCCTCACTGTGCTGTCCTGGGCCGCCTTCCAGCCGGGCTTCTTCCTGGGCCGCCTGTTCCTTTTCCGCAACCCGTGGCGCTGTGACTGCCACCTGGAATGGCTGCAGGACTGGATAGAGGGCTCTGGGCTTGCTACGGATGTGCCATGCGCCTCTCCGGGCTCTGTGGCTGGCTTGGATCTCAGCCAGGTGGCCTTTGAGCGCTCCTCCGATGGCCTGTGCGTGGACCCCGAGGAGCTGAACCTCACTGTGTCTAGTCCAGGCCCATCCCCAGAGCCCGTGGCCACCACCGTGAGCAGGTTCAGCAGCCTCCTGTCCAAGCTGCTGGCCCCGAGGGTCCCAGTGGCGGAGGTGACCAACACTACCTGGGGGCCGGCCAATGCCTCCCTGTCTGACAGCCTTCCCTCCTGTGGAATGAGGGCCTCAGGCCACAAGACCACTTTTTTCTTCACCTCTTGTCTCCTGCTCAGTGTGGTCCAGTTCGTGCACAGAGGGACTGACTCTGGTGGCCCAAACCGCTTTGGCCAAAAGAAGGAAGCTTAGTTAGCTGGGTTTAGGAGCCATTGTGGCAAGGGTGGAGGGATCAGAATGGGTGCCTGTAGTGAAAATTGTACTTGAGAGTGGAAAGAATAGGTTACTTCCAAAGATAGCCCTAGGCAGAGGAGAACCCTGGGAAGTGCCATGGGGCGTGAGTATGGATTTGCTCTTCTCATGTGGGCTTCCATTGGAAAAGAGGAACAATCAACACCCGCCCTCCAGTGGGAAGGTTAGGAACTGGAAGCTCTTAGGACTCCACCCCCACCTCTTCCCCACTATCTTCCAGGCAACAGGGCCTGCAAGGCCTGATTTAGAGAGGCAGTCCATTGGGCAACTACTGAGAACTGTGTCAATTCTCCTGGCCCGGCAACCCATTAGAATCCAATCCCATTGTTTTCTACCACAGTCCTGCTCCCCTCTCCCAGGAGTCTGGTAATCCTAGGGTTCAGGAAGGAGGTCAGGACATTAGAAAAGGGAGAGGAGAAAGAGACTTAGATTAAAGGTGGGGGTGTTTTCTGGGGTCTGAGACGTGTTAGGAGGCATTTAAAATTAATATTCATTTCATTTCATTTACTCCACAATTAATCCCAAGGGTGACCTTAGCCACAAGGGAAATTTAGGGCAGCAGGTGTATTTGTGGACAAATAAATATGTAAAATCCTAAAATTGGAAAAAAAAGACAAAAGAAAAAGTTAAACCAGTTTCTCCTGGTTAAAGTCTCCTGTAGGACTTTCCAGGTTTTCATACGCTAGCATGCATTGTGAATGTCTGAGAAGGCCACAGAATTCTCTTAAGGATTTGTGGGAAGAGCGTGCAGAAGACACAGGTATGTTGGCAGGGCAGGGAGTCTCCAGTTGGGATGATTCCCTTAGATGGGGAAATTACGAGCTGCATGCTTTGGGGCTAATAGCCAAGACAGAAGGAAGCAGCCCGTAGCTGGGAAGGGGGACTTAGAGATGTTTCAGGTGGGAGTTGACCAACTGCATGCCCCAGGCCTTAGGGCTAGAACAAAGGACAACCAGCACCCGTGGGAAGCATTCAGGGCCTCTGACTGCGGAGTGTCGAGGGCAGGACTGCCAAAACCCACATAGAGTTGAGCACACATTGACTGTTAGTCTTAGGATCAGCACTTCTTTTGGCCCTGGCTGAGAAGGTGGACTTTGCGCTGGGCTGGGGGTGTAGCTCAGTGGTAGTGTGCTTGTTTGACATGCACAACACTCTGGGTTCCATCCCCAGAGTCCAAAAAAAGGCTCAAATTTTGGCTCTGCCAGCCTCCCATGCCCACCTCTATAATTGGCAGCAGAATCACAACAGACCAAGGTTCCTAACAGCATGAGGTGGCCAGGTCAACAAAAGTGCCACATGTCTGCTAATACTCAAGCTGTTCTCTATACCATGTGCAATGGTGACTGCATTTGCCAATGACCCCGAAATCTGCGATTTCAATGTCCTGAGCGCCTCTCTTTGTACTTAGAGAGGTGTGTTTCCAAAACACACGAATGCAGATGCTCGCCAAGCTATCTGTTTTTCATGGCAACAACATTTTTATTTATTTTGGCTATACTGGGGGTTGAACTCAGGGCTTTGCACTTCCTATGCAAGAGCTCTACCACTTGAGCCAGGTACAGTCCAATGGTACCTTTTCTTCTTTTTTTTTTTAAACAGGGTCTCGCTATGTAGCTTAGGCTGGTCTCAAACTCATGATCCTCCTTCCTCAGCCTTCCCTAGCCGGAATTACAGGTATGAACTACAGTCAATACCCGGCGACAGTACTTTATAACAATAGTAAGTATTAGAACTGTTGCAGAAGTGTTGAAATGGATTTTGACCATTAGTGGCCATCAGCTCAATTCAGTGGGTTATGACCAGCATTTATTTATTTATTTATTTATTTTCATTTTTCTTTTATTATTCATAGGTGCATACAAGGCTTGGTTCATTTCTCCCCCCTGCCCCCACCCCCTCCCTTACCACCCACTCCGCCCCCTCCCTCTCCCCCCCCAATACCCAGCAGAAACTATTTTGCCCTTATTTCTAATTTTGTTGTAGAGAGAGTATAAGCAATAACAGGAAGGAACAAGTGTTTTTGCTGGTTGAGATAAGGATAGCTATACAGGGCATTGACTCACATTAATTTCCTGTGCGTGTGTGTTACCTTCTAGGTTAATTCTTTTTGATCTAACCTTTTCTCTAGTTCCTGGTCCCCTTTTCCTATTGGCCTCAGTTGCTTTAAGGTATCTGCTTTAGTTTCTCTGCATTAAGGGCAACAAATGCTAGCTAGTTTTTTAGGTGTCTTACCTATCCTCACCCCTCCCTTGTGTGCTCTCGCTTTTATCATGTGCTCATAGTCCAATCCCCTTGTGGGTTATGACCAGCATTTAAAAACCAAAACCAAAACAAAACAAGAAAACCCATGAGGGGTTGGGGGATGTAGCTCAGTGGTAGGCTGTGTGCTTAGCACGTGTGAGGCACTGGGTTCCATCCCCAGCTCAGCACCGCAAAATACCCCCTAACAACAACAAAAACATGATAGAATAGAAAAAGCACAGAGCATCACGTGTAATACTGTAAGAGCAAGCATTGTTTTGTGACACTTCTTATTTAATTATGCATTTGTTCAAACTGTGTATGTGCGTGTACTGGGTTGCTATGTACAATTTATATTTTATTGTGGAGCTGCGCTTTAAGCTGTGCTTAAGAAAAACTGAAAGCTATGGATCTGGAGCAAGTATGAATTTTAGAAAAACATTTTGTTTTGAAATTTTTCATACAGAAAAGTTGCGATAGTAGAATGAACACTTTGACTGTTTACCTAAGTTTCCCAATTGTTAACTTTTTTACTGTATTTTCTTTCTGTCTCTCCATAGTATTATTTCTTAGTAATAGGTTGAGTTAGTTATAAATATGACCCTTTACCTTTACCCCTAAATACCTCAGCGTGGATTTCTTAAGAACAAGGATATTCTCTCATTCATAATACCACTATCAAAATCAGGATATTTATCACTGATAGAATACTATTATTTAAAATATACCCTTGGGACATTGTATGCATATATGGAAATGTCACAATGAACCCCCTGTACGACTATTATATACTGATAAAAACATTAAGAATATAATGTTGGAGCTGGAGCAGTAGTGTTTGCGCAGGCCCTGGTTTCCATCCCCAGCACCACACACACTCACACAAAGAAATAAAACATACTCCATATTGAAATGTCAACGGTTGTGAAATGATTTTTTTCTAAGTAGTCCTTTTCCTATCGGCAGGCAATGTGGTTCCTAAATTGTGGCTTGTTTTCATTTGGTCACAGTAGTCAAAACTTTAAAGTTTCAAGTGAACTGCTTGTCCAAATGTCTTGCTTTCAAATGTGAGAATCCGATGAAGTCAGTCATGTTGTTTGCTCAAACTGTGTGTGGTGGCCATGGAAACTGGGTGAGGACCATGAAAATCCAGGAAAGCAGGTCTCTGCGTTTGGGTAACCATGGAAGTGCACAGTAGACACACAGCCTGGGTTACTGAGGAACAAGATGTCGCCTTGAAAGGAATGTCCTGTCTTTCATTTGGAGTGGGTTCAGGAGAGTCAGCCGAAAAGTGCTGTTCCAGTTCTGCCTGGGTGGTTGCGTTGCCAGCTTTTTAATGAAGATTTGCTTGGCTGAATGTTTCTGAGCAAATATCACCACTAAAATATCCTCCTGGGAGACAGGTTTTTAATAGAGCTGCCCAGTCCAGTAGAATTCTGGGAACGTGGGAGTTACTTAGTACCAAACAGATCCAGAGATGCCTGGAATGAGTTCTCAGTGAATCGGTAGCGATTATGAGCTCTCAGGAGAGATTAGGGAGTGAAGAGTTCCTGTTTTCAGTTCATTAACTCTCTCCCATCATGGGCTAATTAATACCTTGGGAAATGTTAGGTACCGCAGATTCTGCTAAGCAAAACTGTGTGTACCATTCAGGGCAGGCCGCATTCTGCTATGGTGACAACCCCCAAAGGTCGCTACTTTCCTGAAGTTTCTTTCTTGCTCATGTTATATGGTCAATGGAAGCTCATTGGGGGGGCTCTGCCCAAGGACCCAGGTGGTGAAGGATCTACCACCTTAGCACATTGGTATCCTAACACGAGGCAACACAAAAGGGGAAGGTGGGCGAACCATGCACCACTCCAAAATGCTTCCATGCTGATGGGACGCCTGCTGCTACCTACGTGTCATTGGGCCAAAAAGTGACATGGCCACGCTTCACTTCACTGAGACGGGGAAGTATGGTCCCTCATGTGCCCAAAAGAAGAGGAGGACTGGGACTCTTCGGGAAAGCTAGTAGTGTGTCAAAACACCAGTGGGTCTAAATTAGTGCTTCACGTGGTAGGACTGAACCTGCATGTGTCAGAAGCCCCGGAAGAGAGACTCAGGGATGATGGTGAGGGAGGCCTAGAGCTTCTGAACATTGTGTTTGCTCTGCTAGCAGGAATGCTGCGGCTTCCTTGTGCTGGGTCTTCCAAGAAAGGGAAGAAAGGGCTGGGCATGTGGCTTGGTGGTACAGCACTTACCTAGCATGTGCAAGGCCTGGGTTCCATCCCCAACACCGCGGCGGGGGCGGGGGGTGGGGAGAGAAGACAGAGAGAATGTAGGGACAAAGGATTCATATTTTTCCTTTAAAAAAAAGTTTTTCAGGGCTTAAGGTGTGGCTCAGTCAGTACAGCCCCTGCCTCGAAAGCACGGAGTCCTGAGTTCAAACTCCAGTACCACCAAAAAAACATTTTTTTTTCCAGCGGGGCATGGTGGCACATACCTGTAACCCCAGTACCCTGGAGTCTTGAGACAGGAAGATCGAGGGTTTGAGGCCATACTGGGATGCATAGTGAGACCCTGTCTCAAAAAATAAAAAGCTTTCCATCAAATAGTTGAAATATTTAACTCCCCCAAACCTGATCTTTGGGAAATATTCTTTCTTAGAAGGCCTAAGTTTTCTTTTCTTCCTTCCTTTCTTTCTGATACTGGGGATTGAACCTAGGGCTTTGTACATTGGTAGGCAAGGGCTCTGCCACT